CGGGTTTTTAGAATAATCCTTTCCCAAATCGCTTGGCTTCCCGACCGCACTTTGATCACGTGGCGTCTCACAGACACCATTTTTTTTTTCATAAAATTGTAAAGTTATTGGCTTCGCTTATGGGCACAAGTATAATAGTTCGCGACTAACGGACGGTATTCGATGTGGGAGGTTCGGAATTTACGGTGGGTTCGGAGATTCAACTGAAAAGTATCCGATGTCGTCGGTCCCCCGATTTTGTGAAGAGACTCCCCCGAGAGTGGGAAGGAAGCATGTTTTATAGCTTTTTGCTAGTAAAATCGGTCACGTGATCGGTTGTTATAGGAGATAAAGGTTATAGGTGTTCCCGGGACCTAAAACAAATGACGAAATTTGGATGCTAAGTATAAACTTTTGTGCAAGTGGAGCTGCAAGCTGTATGATGATAATAGGATGTTGATAGTTATGGAACGAGAGTCTCAAATTTTCCCAGCATTTTTTTCAATCCGTTATAAAGTAAAATAATTATATTTTTACTAAAGTAAAAGAAGAAAAATAATTATATTTTTAGAATAATAAAATTTCGGGTCTGACAATTCTAAACAAAACAAGCTGCAGCTGTCTATCCAGAGCGGGGGAGAAGTTCTTGCTATAATTCACACTATGTCTCAAATTACTTAGCTGGGAGAGGAGTCGATTGTTATTGTGAAGGGACGAGTCAAAGTTTATCAATGTATATTTGTGCTTTACATAGTGAATATTTGACGCTTTTCGTATATTTTTTCCACACTTTTTACAATAATGCACTATAATAAGCGATTAGATAATTTTTTCCTACGATTACGCAATATTCGGTAGAAATAAGTTTCCCGGTTAATTTTTCAGCTGAAAGCTTTTGTTCAGAAATCTTCTTGTCTAAGTAAAGTCAAATAACATGAAAACTAGTAAAAATACGCTCTAAAATAAAGATTATACCTAATTTTTTACGTTTGTTTACATTCTGACTTTGATCACGTGGAGTGGTTATTCGCGGGAAAATCCAGACCAGAAAGTTTTGAAAAAACTCTCATTCGTTGAAGTTGATTCTGTCATAATATAAATTGCCAATTAGAGCGTAATAGGCGTAGAAACAAAGATTTTAATGCCAGCAAGAACATCTCCCATAAACTTACTGTAAAAAAGTGGAGTTTCCCAAAAATATTTATTGCTAGATAGTTTTAAAAACATATATACATGTTTAAATATTGTAGAATTGTATAATTTAATGTCAAAAACGTTAAATTAGTTCATTGGAGCTAAAAAAAAGATTTAAAAAGCGAATTTATTCTGATTGTTTACATTTTACTTCGAAGGTTGGAGGCGGGACTTTTCGCAACAATTTTTCCTTTCACAAGTCTGTGATTAGTTACAGTAATGTCAACAAAGACAGAAGATACCCAATAAAAGTTTAGAAGGAGTTTCCCTTCAATTGTTTTCAACCAACCGTGTGGGTTTACTGTAAATAATAGGGGAGTGAGTGTATTATCCGAAACATTTATGGCCCGGGGGTGGTAACAAAGCCCTTATTGGCTTAAGAAAAGTCAATCGACCTACAGAAGAGCGAATCGAAGCTGCGATCGCTGGAAAAGTTTAATATAACGCAAAATAATCAAATTTTTTCATTATTTCTTTACACTTGAAATTTTCGACAAGTAGCGAAAATGAAAACAAATAACTAAGAAAATGACAAATAACTAAGAAAATGAAAATGTTACATATATATGTTTTAGATCAAAAAAGGAAAACAGCACCTTTGTAAACACACGTGAATGATTTTACCATTTATTTACATATTCTTTATAAAAGACAGACAGACAAAAATGAGAATTTATAGATGTACAAGTGTTTAAAATTTCAGCTCAAAAACAAACCTGAAATAAAAACAAAATATTGAAAGATAATAATTTATAGTAAAAAAGATGCACGCGATGGACTCGATGGACGATACTGATTATTGCGAGCGTGTTTTTTATCCGAATTTTTTCTACCTGACGTTTGTGAAACGCCGGCACTTTACGCCTTTTTTTGCGAGTAAACTCGGCGCGCACTGAATATGTTATTTATTGCATTTTTCGCAGTTCCAAAAAATTAGAAAACTTGAATATGTTGAAATGTTTTGAAAAATTTCGGAAAAAATGCTGGTAAAAAAACTGTCACCGGGCGTCTCACACATGCCATGCAATTTGGGAAGTGATTTATTTGTCTTATTTCTACACTCCATTGACAAACTTTTCTCCTATTGTTGGAGTCAAGTTTTCCGTTTTATCTTAGCAAGTAAGTTTATAATTTTATGTATTCTGGAGAATAATCTGTAATTTTTTGCGTATAACAAAACAATAAGACAGTTTTTAGAATATATTGCTTATTTGTAGACTTCATCGACAGTTTTTACTGTTTCGCTGAGTTTTCAATCTTATCTTAGCAAGTAAGTTTATAATTTTATGTATTCTGGAGAATAATCTGTAATTTTTAGCGTATAACAAAACAATAAGACAGTTTTTAGAATATATTCCTTATTTGTAGAATGTCTGATAGCGAGGACAGCTATATGGCGATCTCGGAGAGTGGATCCGAGTCCTACATCCCATCCATCGACGACTCTAGCAGCTCGGACGACTAGGGAAGAGATGCTGCTAGGTCGTGGTGTGCTGCTGACACCAGTACATTTCCTAATCCTCCTCCACGCTTTCCATTCACTGGAACTCCTGGGTGTCGGTTTTCTAAAATTCACATAACTGAACCTTTAGATTACTTTAATTTATATTTCGATAACGAATTAATGAACGAAATCACTACTGAAACGAACAGATACGCCCTATCAAAACCGCAGACATCCAGGAGCCGGTGGAATCCTGTTTCCGTGGAGGAAATGTTTATGTTTTTGAGTGTTATCTTACTGCAAGGAATAATTCATAAACCGGATGAGAGAATGCATTGGACCACAAACGAAACACTTGAGACTCCAATTTTTCGAAGAATAATGGCAAGAAATCGTTTTTTGGAAATAAAACAAAATTTGCATTTTAGTAATAATGAAAATTATAATCCGCGAACTCATCCAAACCCTAAACTGAATAAAATTTGGCCAGTAGTTCAAAATTTATGTTCAAAATTTTCGCGTCTGTATGTCCCAGAAAGGGATATAGTGGTGGATGAGAGTTTGATGCTGTTCAAAGGACGTCTTTCGTGGAGACAATACATGCCTCTCAAACGGTCTCGTTTCGGTGTGAAATTTTACATGTTATGCGAGTCCGCATCTGGCTACTTATATAATTTCATAATTTATACCGGAAAAGATACAGTTTTCAATCAAAAATATAAAGATATGCCTATTACATCAAGAATTGTCTTATCATTAGCGGACTCGTTGTTAGGCAAGGGCTATTGTCTAACAACAGATAATTTTTATTCTTCCCCACATTTAGCTGATTATCTGGTTACGGTCCAAACAGATTTCTATGGAACTGTGAGGACGACCAGACAACAGATCCCAGCTGAGGTTAGAAATAAAAAATTGAAAAAGGGAGAAACAGTGGCGATGCAGAGGGGTAAAGTGATGGCTTTGAAGTGGCAAGACAAAAGAGCCGTCACTTTACTCTCTACGGTCCACAATCCATCAATGGTAAGAAAACAAACTCATGCCGGTAAAATAGTTGTAAAGCCACAGGTTGTTGTCGACTATAACGACACAATGGGAGGTGTTGATGTATTAGATCAGCATCTTCGAGATTATCCAGTGGCGAGAAAAAGAGGGAAGAAATTTTACAAAAAAGTATTTTTCCATCTACTAGATATTTGTACTTTTAATGCTTTTGTTTTATATAAAAAAAATGGTGGCGTACTAAGTCATCTAGACTTTAGAATTAACATTATTGAAACAATTATACAAAAGTATCACACCGAAACGAGGGTTACAAAACATGGTCAGCCGAGAACTTCAGGTCCGAGAATTCCAGGTCCACTTAGACTTACGGAAAGACATTTCCCGGACCTTCTTCCGGAGACCGACAAAAAAAAGGCTCCCACTAGACGCTGTGCCGTATGCAAAACTAAGCATGACGGTGCAGGCAAAAGAATAAGAAAGGAAACGCGATATTATTGCAAAGATTGCGATGTGCCATTGTGTGCAGCACCCTGTTTCCGAATATATCACACAATGGAAAAATTTTAAAAAAGGGTTATTCTTATTTTATTCTTATATTATTATTCTTATTTTTTTACATAAGAATTTCACGTAAAACTTTTACATTAATATTTAATCGTTATGTTAAAATATTTTTTGCTTCCTTTCTTATTTTTAACTGTAAATAATTTATAAATATTTTTATTAATAATTACGTACATTTAATTTTTATTAATTTTTTATAGTATTTATTTATGTGATAATTTATTACTTTATACCAGATTATTATATTTCAATAGTATAAATAATATTGTATTTTATGATTGTAATCATTTTATAAATGTTTTTGAATCAATAAATTTATTTTCATTTTATGTTTTGTCATGTTTTTCTTTTTGTATTATTTTTAAAGCTAACCGACGAATGGCAGCTTTCCTGCACGTTAGCGTAGCACGCGGAAAAGCCACCATCGCAGGCTGCAGGTAGCCCCTGTAAAGTTGGCTATCCAGAGGAAAAGCTGCCATATAGGAACCAATTTTTGCGAAATTTGAAAAATCGAAAAAACCACTTTTTTCAATTGAAATGAAGAATTTTTTTTGTAATAAAAAAGAACGGGCATTCCAAAAAGACCCTTTTTTATTGAAACAGTCGTTAAGGGGTTAAGAGTTATTTAACAGAGAGAACTGCAGGAGTATACCATCAAAGAGGAAATGTCATACGCTCTATTTTTAGAGGTTGCCCACAGGGGTCAAGGTCGGGCCCTGGGCTTTGGAACATTGTTTGCAACGACCTCCTTAAATTGAACGAACATAACGAAGATAATTGGAGACTACAAAGCTACGCGGATGACACTGTGCTCATGATTTCACATAGGTATGGAAAAAGACTACAAGAGAAAGCAAACATGATACTGCATAAAATATACAATTGGAGCAAACAGAATAAACTTGACATCAATTATGATAAGTGTGAGAATATGGTTCTCTCAAAAGGAAAACAACTTCAAAAGGCTTTCAAAATAACCATTAATGGAAATAGGATTAAAAATGTTAACGTGATGAAATATTTAGGAGTAATGATTGATTGTAGCTTAACCTGGACTAAACATTTAGATTACATCGCAAGTAAAATAAGCAAAACAATGAATGCCATGTTAAGTATTGCTCACAAGGAGTGGGGCCTCAGTGGGAAAGCAATTACAATGCTAAATAAAGCATGCATCGAACCAGCTATTTTATATGGTGCTCCGTTTTGGGGCGAAAAAATTGACAATATTAACTTCAAACGTAAGATTCAATCCATACAACGACCGATACTCATCAGAATGTGTAGAGCATATAGGACAACGTCCAACGCGGCATTGCAAGTATTAGCAGGGTGTACTCCATTATACCTGAAAGTTAAAATGCTAACATGGACATGGACATTCAACAATATACAGATTACAAAAGAAGGCCTCAACAATCTTACGAAGTATGCGGATATCGGTTGCCTCCCTAATCTGGATTATAATTTTTTACAGACCTTTGTCAATAATGGAATAATCAAAGAGAAATCTAAATACGTTCACCCAACAAATAACTACAAGGCTGACATCACTGATATTAATGCAGAACCATACCCTACTAACTTTATCTTTACGGATGGTTCCAAAAACAACAGAAATGTAGGAGCATCTTTTATTCATTTTAAACATGGCAATGCAAACTTCAAACATGAAGCCGGCTTTAAACTAGCCAGCTATTGCTCTGTTCCTGATGCCGAATTGTACGCTATATTTCAAGCTATCTCTTACATTTACACATTGAAAGACTACAAAGGACATCTACGTATATGTACGGATAGCCAAACCTCACTTCGTCGTATCAACAGTGACTATTTTGATTGCGATATGATAAATAACATCCGGAATAAGTTGAAGAATATACACAACTATAAAATCAGCTTCGCTTGGGTTAAAGGCCACAGCGGGGTGCAGGGAAATGAAGAAGCAGATAGACTAGCGAAAAAGCATGCTAATGAGAATGGTGAGATCATCTATACTGCTCTTACCAAGAAAAACATCAAGGATCTGATTCAACAAACTGCCCTTCAGCTGTGGCAAGTGGATTGGGAAAATGGTGATACAGGAAGAATCACCTTTAAATTTTTCCCATGTATTCAACAGCGCCTTGCCATGAAACATTTGAATATTGGTTACATCATGACACAGACATTCACCGGACATGGGAATCTGAAGCACTACCTTCATCGATTCGGTCTTTCCGACGAAGAAACATGCAGTTGCGATGGTGCATCGGTCCAAGATGTCGATCACTTGATCTTCTACTGCAGCAACTATAACAGAGAAAGAAGCTCTTTAATTCAACAAACATTGCAACACGGGTTCAATTGGCCATGCGAACTACACCATCTCGTAACTGAAAAAGAACTCTTTTATGAACTTCAAACTTTTATTAAGAAGACTAAAGCGCTTGAGACGAACTTTAAAAGAACACATTAGTGTTCTTGTCTCTACACCCTCTATCGATCTACTTGGTTCAGTTGCCCCTACATTTGTTTCTAATTATTTTGTACTAGACGGCGAAAAGCCGTATTTGTTATAACCTTTTCGATATATAGTTTAAGTTAATTTATTGTAATACTTTACTTTCGGTGATAACTGTAAGATTCAGATTTCATCAATGTATAATTTATGTTTTTTGATGGCGAGAAGCCATATTTGATTAATACATTAATTAATGTTGTCTAATTACTATTGTATTTTCGATTAGTAAATTTGATCATTCTATGTGTAATCATTTTTCCTTAAAATATTTTGTTAAAAGTTTATTTATCGTCTGTATTCTGACAGGCAAGAACTGTATTTGTTCAAAATATTGATTTGATTTATGTTCTTCTGTTTTTTCGGTTAAAATTGTTTTCAAACTACGTGTAATCAAACTGTCTTCAATTGTACATACTGTAAATATTGCAATTATTATCTGTATCTGATGGCCAGGAGCCATATCTGTATGTTTCATTTGATTCTTAATAAAACAGGCTGGGCGCCCATGAAACTTTCCCTTTTCATCCCCTTTCCTATCTCGCTTTACTCTTTCCCCATCGCCTCTTCCCTTAACTACCTTTCCTTTACTCTTCTTCACACTCGGGCAATACCAATGAGTAGTCCCGAGTCTTCATCCCCTTTATGAAAATGTAAAATGTAGTACTAGATTTTAAAGCATTATATCCATCCATCAAACTAGAGCCTTGTTTCAGCCACTTAAGAGATTTTTTTATTAAAACAAAATTAAAAATACAGAAAAGAAAAGAAAACAGATACTAGAGCTGACGCATCTAACCACATATTCGTTGATATTTAACTTTAATTAAAGGAGTCACATATGCGCAGCAGAAGGACAAGCAGTGGGAAGTCCAGTAGCAGGTGCATTATGTGAAATGGTTTTAAGAACATTAGAGAACACCATCATACCAAAATATGCAACGCAAATAATATTATACGCACGGTATGTAGACGATGTTTTTATTATATGAAAATTAAAACCAAAGTTACAACAATTTATAAAAGACATCAACAACAACAATTTTCGCCCAGAGATTGAGCTGGAACAAGCAAATGATAAAATTATACATTTTTTGGATTTATCAATACAATTAGACAACAGAGGAGATATAATTACAAAGGTCTACAGAAAGCCTACATACAACCCATTGTTTATACCGTGGAATTTATACGTTGCTGGGTCGTGTGAACTTGCAGCATTCCAGCGCTCACAGCAAGAGCACACACTCACTGTAGCAAAATGCAATATATCAAAACCTAGCAAAGCAATTTAGGGTTAATACTAAGGCTCTAATCAGCAAAACAAAAACAGGCATCAGCAAGCTGAATATAAGAAATAAAATAGAAGAGTATACACTGATGGAATACAGGGGCCCGCTAAATAATGTCTACAAAAGAATTGGAGCAGCAACAAACAAAAAATAATTTACAAAAGGAATCCAACAGTTTATCAAATCTTAAGAGCAGACAAAGATGAAGTATACCGAAACCTTCTTCCTGAAGTATATAAAATTCCAACAACAGATAAAAGGCTGCAGAAAAAGCTGTTTTACATTGGAGCTACAGGGGGATCACTCAAAGAAAGACTGATGGAGCACAAAAGTAACATAAGAAATGATCAGCCAGTCACAGTGCTAGCAACATATATTCTAGCAGACCCTTTATAAGTTATAGCAGAATGGATAAAGCAAAATTGATACAAAAAAGCACCTCAAATATGCAGAGGCTTGGCATATTTACAAAACCAGTCAAGAAGGACAAGCAATCAACTTTAGAAAAGCAAGTAAGATATCGGCAGCATAGAGATCAAGCATAATGTAATGTTTCAACAGGAAAGAACTGTAACAAAGTGGCAATAAATAGTGAGACGACATTTAGAAAAGCATGCATATTAAGTATGCAATCTAGCTACACATGCATTAATGTTTTGCTTTACTTTTATGGTTGTGTTTTTTTTTCATCTATGTATTTATTGATGTATCTGATCAGTTTTTATTTGTGCCCACTTATAACCAGAGCTTTGGAGCGGAGCTGGAGCTGGGAGCATGGAGCAGGTGGAGCAATGGATTTTTACTCAGAGCAGGAGCGGAGTCGGAGCACAGAAATTTGTAGTGCTCCACTGCTCCGATATATATATATATTTATTTAATATTTGAGACAGTGAAAATGGAAGTGGCATAAGTTGTAATATCACAAATGTCTCATATGAAAGGTGGGAACTTTTCTCTCCAGTCTACACTATCCCCTTACCAAGCTATTCCTTCCCCTTTGTGATCCCCCAGTTCTCTGAATTCTTGGTGATTGCAGATGTGGAGTTAAAGCTAGATGCTGCAGCTTGTGGAAATAAGAAATTTTCTTGCCATCAATGTACAATTTTGGTATTAAGAAAACAAGAAAACTGAAATAAAAACATTGGATATTGTCGATACTGAAGGAAGACAACTCTATATGTAAAAAATCAAATTAAAGAAACTTTGAACAAATTTGAAATCAATGAAACACAAGCATTAAGTGTAGATAATGCAGCGAACATGACACGTGCTGTAAATAAACTTGGCGATCATGAAAATATTTTCCAGGATAAAGATGAAAAAACTGAAGACATTGAAGAAATGAATGTAGACATTTCACCACATTGGGTTAAAAATCCTTCCCTAATATTGCCAGCGTGGACTAATGATAATACAAAAATTCATCTAATGAGGTATGGTATTCACACTCTTCAACTAGCCATTTGGGATGGATTAAAGAATGAATGAATAACAAAAATATTAAGGAAAATTTGACAGGTTGTGGTAAAATTAATAAACACCAACAATTCATAATGTTTTGCTGAAAATGTATGGTAAAACTCAATTCCTAGATACAGTAACAAGATGTTTATGAAAGAATGGTGTAAACTAGAAAAATGTATGGAAGAATTTGAAAGACATGTTTCGTTAGGAATTCTGTATCCCATTAAAAAGCAGAAAGAAGAGCTTATTCAAAACATGCATTTTCTTGCTGGAGTGTATGTTGATTCTAGATATAGAATCTTATGAAGTGTGGCAGAAAAACTAAAAGCAAGAGAAGGTCTTTCAGACATCCAATAGTGAATCAAAAGGCAAACACTAATTGATTTGGCTGAAAAGCAAGCAATTGTTGAACTGTCACAGCACAACCAGTGATATGATAAATATAGATTCAGAAGAAGATCAAAAATACAGATGAAAAACAATTGGATAGAAGAGAAAACAGTCATCGAATTTCCACTATACATAATAAAGATGACAACGAAATAGACAAACACGTTGAGAAAGACTGCAATGCAATAGAGGATGTGGGGAGATTAAAGGTGAATGTATTCAAAGCCATTGACCATTATCCGGAGCACATCAGAAAAGCCTGCAGAGTTGCTTCAAAGATGCGAATTTCTCAAGCAAGTGTTGAGCATCTATTTTCTGGATTAAAATTGCTTTTAAGTGATAATAGGTAATGAAGGATGATCTGCTATCTGCCATTTTATTTATTGAAATCAACGAGGTTGTATGTTAATTTTTTTAATAATAAATTAGTTGTAAATAAACAAGTTTTTTTTATATGTACTTATACATCAAAGAAAAAATTAATGTAATTACTATAAGAATATTTTAACTGGAGCATGGAGTGGAGCATGGAGCGGAGCACGAAGCGGAGCTGGAGCAAATACTTTGATGCCGAAGCAGAGCAACTCAAAAAAATGGTCGCTCCAAAGCCCTGCTTATAACGGTAACCCAATGGCACGAGATTATGTACTAAAAGGTTTTTAAAAAGCGTTCCAAAACGCATTTATCGTTAATACAAATCAGTCAGCATTCAATTTTCGTTTGTTCTTGATAAAGGTCATTAAAGATGACCGAAAACGTTTGAAATTGATAATAAATTTGGCTGCAATTTATAAGGTTTTTGAGTAGTATATCCTTAATAATAATACATACAACAATAAAAGATATGCAATAAAGATTTTAGTTAAACTGTTTAAGAAGATCTTTATCACAAAAGAAGAGTTTGTTCACTTTGTATGATATGCTTTCCAATGTTCTAGTATAAATATATATTTTTCAAACATTAAAATTGTTTCTTTAAACATTGTTCGAAACATTGAATTCCGTTATTCTGCTTTTGCTCTGAAAACGAAAAGCATAGTCATCAGCGACCATCAAGGGGGGGGAAACTTTTCTAGTACAGAATTAAGAAAGATTTTAAAATGTTTTCATCTCAACTTTATCAAATTTTTCACAGAATACTAAATTATACTGATATGACATTAACTCACATGTCTCCCAACTCTTCATTGTCAGTTGTTGAGCAGATGCTGTTTCTATCAGAACATCTCCTGATCTCAATTTTTGTATCTTTTTGGGTTGTCAAATAGTTGATTAAAATAACTTCTGTATAAAGAAAAGAGGATATTTGGATAAAACTTTTTCTCCAGTTACATGCAGTATCAAATAGGCTAGCTGACTAGAATTGTTAAAATTGTTTGTAGTAGGTGACTGGTCTGTGCATGAATATTTTGTAATTTTTGCATCCATAGTTAATTAAAGCAAATTATTCAGCACCCAGTGACCCACCTACTATGGGATGCCATCACATGGGAGATTTCCAAAAACCATCGAACCAGTGTTTTCAAAAAGCTATATCCTCAGGACGTAGTCAAGAAGAGCATATCTTATCTGATATGAAAAGCCTGTCAAGCAGGGACATGTCGCACCAGTCTACATCGTTCAGTTGATTCCAAGCCGAGGTCCCAAAGGACTCAACGACCAGCTGATTGACTCGAATGGAACCTGATTATAGTCACCCATTTATCTGAAGCAGTGTGCTGAAGACACTATGTTGCCTCTCAATTACCAGAATACTCCTTTCTTGCACACGGGTATCCAAGCACTGCAAAACATGTGAATAACAAATTCCAC